TTAGTTTTTTTTTTTTGTTTTGTTTGTTTGTTTGTTTTGCAGAATCCCCAAGGAGATTTCCCTAATGGGACTGGGACCTTAACCTCACTCAGTCACATTGTAGGAGCCAGTGTAGCTGTGAAATTATCTTAGGAACTCAAGCGTCTAACAAAAAAGCAAATAAAAATAATAAAACTTATTTTTTATATTCACTTATAAATGCTGTTGTACTTAGAGATGATCACTCATATAACATCATTTGTTTTGGTTTGGTTTTTGCCAATTATTTGGTTGTTTGTATTTCCAAAAAGTAAATAAAAATTTTTATTTTTTAAAACAAAAGAATTATGAGGATTGAAAACAGCTCATTTTAGGAATGTCAGTTATTAACCTGAAAGTAACTAATGATTTTATGGTTGGTTACTCTACTAGATGTGAATAAAAATTGTGCCTTTAGCCTTCTATTACATCAGTGGAAACTTAATTGAGATGCATTAATTATGTTCTAGATTGATTCTAAATACAATGTTTTTAATCTAAGTGTGGAGAATTGTAAACATATGGTTGTAACCAGAATTTAAATGATTATAACCTTTTGGCACGGGGTGGTGGCTCATGTATATCATCCAAGCACTTTGGGAGGCTGAGGCAGGTAGAAGGCCTGAAGCCAGGAGTTCGCGACCACCCTGGCCAATGTGGTGAAACTTTGTCTCTACTAAAATACAAATAATAATAATAATAATAATAATAAAATAGCGAGGTGTGGTGGTGCACACCTGTAATTCCAGCTACCTGGGAGGTTTAGGCACGAGAATTGCTTGAATCCAGGAAACAGAGGTTGCAGTAAGCTGAGATTGCACCACTGCACTCTAGCCTGGGTGACAGAGTGAGACTCTGTCTCAGAAAATAAAATAAAAGATTATAACTTTTTAAAAGTAAAAACTCCAAACATATGTTCTTTTGTGTCATTATTTATATATAATAAAGAGTGAAAACAATCCAGATGTCCATCAACTGGTGAATGTATAAACAAAATGTGATATATCCATAGAATGGAATATCATTCAATCATATAAAGGAACAAAGACCAGTTACGTGCTATAACATGCATAGACCGTGAAAACATGCTAAGTGGAATTGGATTTTTGCCATTGTTTTTGTTGTGAATGTGGTTAATTTTGCTGTTGTTAATGTGGTTGATTTATTTATTGTTTTAAAGTTTCAGTAGTTTTTGGGGAACAGGTGGTGTTTAGTTGCATGCATAAGTTCTTTAGTGGTGATTTTTGAGATTTTGGTGCATTCATCACCCAAGGAGTGTATAGTGTACCCAGTGTGTAGTCTTTTATCCCTCATCCCCTCCCATCCTTTTCCCTGATTCCCCAGAGTCCGTTACATGATTCTTATGCCTTTGCATCCTCATAGCTTAGCTTCCACTTATGAGAACATACAATGTTTGGTTTTCCATTCCTGAGTTATTTAACTTAGAATAACGATCGCCAACTGCCTCTAGGTTGCTGCGAATGCCATTATTTTGTTCTTTATGGCTGAAGTATTCCATGGTGTGTATGTGTATGTGAATGTGTGTGTGTGTGTGTGTGTGTACACACAGACATACATGTTTTTCATGTTTCTTGGCCATTTGTATATCTTAAGAACTGTCAAAAGTCAAAAGGGGAATTGGAGTTTGAGGGAACAATTTTATGGCTGTTTTTCAGTATAATCATCAGGTGAATATAGTTCTGTTCAGCTAGTGTTACTTTAATCCATTATCTGTACCCAGGAAGGGAGACATTTATCACAGAGATAGACACAAACCTGGAATGCTTTTCCCCAAAGGTGAGTAACTATAGTGTGAGCCCTAAAATTCACTGCAGATAGGTCCTGATTTGGCGCAAGATATGCTTTATCCACTGATGTGAAATGTCCAGGTGTTTTTTGGTATGGTTTTGTTGGTGAAAGACACAATACTCTCTAATCTAAGGCATCTTCTCCAAATCCCACTGAGGCACAGGTGCAGCACAGGGAGGGGGTCATGGAGTTTCCTGTGAGAGATTTGCCTTCTGAACCCTGGGCAGATCCTCCCCACCTTGGGATCTCTGTGAAACTCTGGGGTCTCCTAATTGATCTGGACCAAGTTGTGAGGTGGAATTCCTCCCAGGCTATAGTCTCCCCTCTTCCTCTTTGAATTTTACCAAGACAGATCAGGGTTTTGAAGGTGGGAGTCATAGTGTCACCTCCCACAGGCCCTGGCTGTGCAGATGGATGAGGCTACAGTGCCTGGATGGAGTAAATCTACTGGGAGCCTGGATTCTTCATCTTGAGGTTGTCCCATCAGCAGCCCCATAGGAAGGGGAACTGCCCTCTCTGGGAGCCTGGCTTTCATTTCCTTATAGATGGGGCTGGGGCAGCCACCAGCTCTCTTCATACATTTCAGACGGAAATGGTGCCTCCCTGATTTTTTTCTGCTATTTGCCTCATCTGTCCTCATCTCATCAAGGGTCAGGACATAGGAGCCAACAGACCCAGCACCTTTCTGAGTCTGTCCTAAGTGAGGGTTACTAGGTGCTTGTGCTTCTCAGAACCTCCCCATGGGTTCTTCTCTCCTTTAGGCTGTCCATCAAAACAGCATCGTGGGATCCTTACCAAGGCAGTCATCTCTCCAGCCCTGGAGATGCTTCGGGGAAGTTGCAGGTCCATGCTGCAGGCAGACTTGTATAAGTAGAGATGTATCTCACATCTGGCTGTGAAATTCAAGTTGGGCTGCAGATGGCAATGAGAAAAAAGGAGAAATAAAGAAATGCTAACTCTTCTTTTTATTTTTGGAGTATGGGTTTTGTTTCTTTCAGTTTCCTTTTTATAATTCCCTTTTTTCCCCCATTTTTTAATAGCGTTCACTGTCACCTCCCTTAAAAGTAACCTCTGAATCATTCCTGTCTCATTGATGCCCCCCCACCCCCCACCCCCGCAACCCTGTTTCCTTGAGCATTCTCCTGCAATTCAGTCTGAATTGAAAGGTTTGGGAACAAGTACTTAGTCTTGAGCTTTGATTTTGTGGTGGGATAGGTAATCAATTTTACTTTCTGAATTGCTAACCTTCATCTCTGCCTGCATGACCTTAGGCAGTAAGTCCCATCTCTGAGCTTCAGCTTCCTCATTTTCGGCCTATTGTCATGAACCTCCTCCTGAGTGGTTTTGGGGGCCAGTTGTGCCTGGGTCATGCGAAGGCGTCAATTGTGGTACTTTTCCAGACCAGGTTAAGACCTGAGGGGTTGAAACACGAGTGGATCCTGGTGTTGGACTGCACAGTCATGGTGAACAACTTATGTGCGCAACAGCCCAGATCTGCTCCAAACACTGAGAAACCTACTTACAAAGTTTCTGAAATATGTAGCCATGATCCTATGAAGAAATGAGAAATGAAACTTCCTGACACAGGCCGGAAATCTTAAGAAGCAGCAGAAGCCAGAGCTGAGTGGCTGCTGGTGACTTGCAATGTTAAGGGGTGACTAAGGGGAGAAGTTTTGACCTCTGTGAGACAGAAGAGAGCCCCAGGCCCAGGGACCCCACAAACAGGGAAATGTCAGGATTTCAAATGAAGGACAGAAGCTGTGGCTCCTCCTCCCCTGTGTTTGTGGATGGCACTGGAATACCTCTGCTTTTGACTCAGGTCCATGGTCAGCCCCAAGCCGCCTCCTCCATGTGTGTGTGAAACAGATTCACTGCAGCATTATCAGACATTGGTGTATGTCCCAAATGTGAGTCTGAGGCTCTCACTGGACCCTCCCTTGCTGAGCAAAGCCCTGAGCAGACTCATGACACTGGCAGGTGGAACAATCTCCCCTTTTCAAGCTGTAACTCCCAGCACAGCCCTGGTAGAAACCCTCTCTGACAGATGAGGCCTGTTGGGGGCAAATGTCCAAGAATGACAAGAAGGAGGAATCATCCTAATGATCAAAAGTGCTATGATTGGCGGGGCGCTGTGACTCATGCCTGCACTTCCCAGCACTTCGAGAGGTCAAAGCAGGCGGGTCACTTCAAGCCAGGAGTTCAGGACCAGCCTGGGCAATGTGGCAAAACATCATCTGTAAAAAAATTAGCTGGGTGTGGTGTCATGAATAGTGACCTGCAGCTCCATTTAAGTTGCTGCAAAACTCAATCCCTTGTACAACAGTTGCAAAAAATTAAAAATACCCAAGAATATACCTAAGCAAGGAGGTGAAAGATCTTTACAAGAACAACAAAACACTGCAGAAAGAAACTGGAGATGACACAAATGGAAACATATCCGATGCTCATGGATTGCAAGAATCAATATTATGAAAATGATCATACTGCTGAAAGCAATCATCAGATTCAATGCAATTCCCATCAAAATGCCAACATCATTTTTCATAGAATTAGAAAAAACAATCCTAAAATTCATGTGGAACCAAAAAAGAGCATAAATGCCAAACCAATCCTAAGCAAAAGTATCAAATGTAAATTTAATAAACTAATTCTAGGCTGAATTGTGGGTTTTGTATTTTTTATTTTTGACAGAGCCTCGCTGTGTCTCCCAAGCTAGAGTGCAAGGGTGTGATCTTCGCTCACTGCAACCTCTGCCTCCTGGGTTCAAGCAGCTCTGTCTCAGCCTCTCAAGTATCTGGGATTATAGGTGTGTGACACCACGCCCAGCTGATTTTTGTATTTTTAGTAGAGACAGGGTTTCGCCATGTTGACCAGGCTAGTCTCGAACTCCTGACCTCAAGTGATCTGCCTGCCTCGGCTTCCGAAAGTGCTGAGATTACAGGCATGAGCCACTGTGTCCGGCCTGAAGTGTGGGTTTTAAAATGTTATTTTTGTATTATATAATTTTCAAGTCATTAAAAAATACAAAGAGATCTGGCCTATAAACAAAAAATCCTAAAATTATTTCTTCATAAAAATGCAAATTATTTTCAATGGATTTGCATGCTTATTGGGATTGGACCTTCCAACAGCAAATTCAACACCAGGAGATACTAAAGAAATGCCTTCAGAAATTTATGGTGAGTGAAGAATTCTATATTAACCCAAATTCTCAAAGACAAGGGTAAATGACCTGTTGGCAGCTTGTCTCACATTAAACCCACTGTGTCAGGTTTCACTGGACGCCTTCAGTGTTACATGTACTTTCCCTTCTACATATATTTCATTATGCTTTATTTAATATAATTCAGGACATAGACACAGGCAAAGATTTCATGACCACATCACCAAAAGCAATTGCAACAAAAACTAAAATTGACAAATGGGATCAAATTAAACTGAAGAGCAAAAGAAACCATCGTCAGAGCAAACAGACAACCTACAGTGTGGGAGAAAATTTTTGCAATGTGTCCATCTGACAAAGGTCTAACATCCAGAATCTATAAGGAACTTAACAAATTTACAAGAATAAAACCGCCTCATTAATAACTGGGCAAGGGACATGAACAGATACATCTCAAAATAAGACATTCATGCAGCCAAGAAACATGAAAAAAAGCTCAACATCACTGGTCATTAGAGAATTGCAAGTCAAAACCACAGTGGGATACCAACTCACACCAGTCAGAATGGCGATTATTAAAAAGTCGGAAAAAACAGGCTGGTGAGGTTGCAGAGAAATAGCAACGCTTTTACACTGTTGGTGGGCATGTAAATTAGTTCAACCATTATAGAAGATTCTGTGGTGATGCCTAAAATATCTAGAACCAGAAATATCATTTGACACAGCAATACCTAGGTGTATACCCAAAGGAATATAAATCATTTTATTACAAAGATACATGCACACGTTTATTGCAGCACTATTCGTAATAGCAAAGACATGGAATCAGCCCAAATGCTCATCAACGATAGACTGCATAAAGAAAATGTGGTACATATACACCATGGAATACTATGAGCCATTATCCTCAGCAAACCAACACAGGAACAGAAAACCAGACACTGCATGTTCTCACTTATAGGTGGGAGCTGAACAATGAGATCCTATGGACACAGGGAGGGGAACTACACACATTGAGGCCTGTTGGAGGAGTGCAGGGCAGGAAGGGGAAAGTATTAGGATAAATAGCTAATGCATGCTGGGCTTAATACCTAGGTGATGGACTGATACATGCAGCAAACCACCATGGCACATGTTTACCTGTGTAACGAACCTGCAGATCCTGCACATGTACTCCAGAACTTAAAATACAAATAAAAATTAATTTTTTTTTCATAAACTTGATAGAGAGTGATAGGAAAAGGAAGGTATTTCCAGAGTCACAATTTTAAAAATATTTTACTCTTGTCACACTCAGTGAAAGCAATTCTAAATGATGTAATTTAGTTGGAAAAGCAAAGAATCCAAAATGTATAATGTGGCATCCTTGAGGGAGGAAAAATGGGAAAACCACATACTGAAACACATATATGTGCACATGCATCCTCATAGTTACATACATGGATAAGTACTCAGAATGGGAAAACCACTTATTCACACACACACACGTGCACATGCACCCTCCTAGATACATACATGGGTGAGTACTCAGAGTTCAGCTAATTTATAATTCTCTGCAGGGAGAGGAGAAATGAATCCTTTTTCAAAAATACAATCATTTTTATAACTTGGTAATCGTAAATAGTGCTGCATGAACTTAGGAGCGTGGACATCTCTTCTGTGTGCCGATTTCATTTCTTCTGGGTGTATACAAAGTGAGACTTCTGGATTATACGGTGGTCGCACTTTTAGTTTTTTGAGGGGCTTCCATACTGTTTTCCAAAATGACTGTATTAACTTACATGTCCACCAATGGTGTGCAAGGATTTTCTTTTCTCCCCATCCTCACCAACACTTACCTTTCATCATTTTGAAAATCGCCAATCTAACAGCTGTGAAGTGATATTTCACTGCAAAATTTTACTTTTTACACATATATGTGTATACATATGTATGCACATATACACACATGCATATATATGTACATATGTATATGCACATATATACACATGTATGTATATATACAGTTGGATGCATATGTATGCATACATTTGGATGTATACATATATGTGTATACATACATACATATAAACTTCAATAAGCTATAACCTGGCATCTATTAGAATGGTTACTATGAAAAAGAGTAGTCTGGGCACGTGGTTCATGCCTGTAATCCCAGCACTTTGGGAGGCTGAGGCGGGTGGATTTCCTGAGGTTAGGAGTTCAAGACTAGCCTGACCAACAAGGTGAAGCCCTGTCTCTACTAAAAATACAAAAAAATTAGCTGGATGTGGTGGCAGGCACCTGTAGTCCCAGCTACTCAGGAGGCTGAGACAGGAGAATTGCTTGAACCCGGGAGGTGGAGGTTGCAGTGAGATGAGATCATACCACTACACTCCAGCCTGGGTGATGGAGCAAGACTCCATCTCAAAAAAAGGAAAAAGAAAAAAAAGAAAAAGAGTAGAGTAACAAGTGTTGATGAGAATGTGGAAAAAATAGAATCATTGCGCTCTGCTAGTGGTAATGTAAGTGAGTACAATGACTACAAAAATACTACAGATGTTTTTCAGAAGTTAATGATTAGAACTGCCATATGTTTCAACGATGTCACTGCTGGATGTGTACCTTAAGGAAATGAAATCAGAACGTTGAAGAGATGCACACACTCCCATGCTCACTACAGCATCAGTCACAATAACCAAGACATGGAACCCACCCAAGTGTCCATCAGCAGGTGAATGGATACAGAAAATGAAGTGCCCAGTATATACACAGCAAAAAACTATTCAGCCTTCTAGAGGAAGGAAATTGTTTCATTTGTGACAACATGGATGAGCCTAGGGGACATCACGCTAGGTGGAATAAAGAAGGCACAGGAAGTCACCTACTGCATGATCTCACTTATGTGTGGAATGCGCCAGGCCAACTCATGGAAGTAGAGTGGAAGGTGGTTCCCGGGAGCTGGGCTGGGTGGAATCAGAGAGCTGTATTGAAGGAGACCACATTTCAGTTACATAGGAGGAGTAAGTTTAGCAGATCTTTTGTACAATACAGTGACTACAGTTACTAACAATGGATTGTATATGTGAAAACTGGTTAAGAAAGTAGATTTTAAATGTTCTCTTAACAAAAAGATAACTATGTGATGTTACAGATAATTAGCTTGACCTAGGGATTTCACAGGATATTCATGTATTAAAATATCATGTTGTACACCCTAAATATGTAGAATTTTTTATTGCCAGATAAAATGAAGTAAAACATTAAGATAAAAAATATTATTTTGAAACAAACTGTACATTTTAAAACATGCCTTTTATATGATGGAAAATTCCATTTTATATGTGATGACTTCTTTTTTTTAAAATTTTTTGAGACAGAGTCTGTCTGTGTTGCCCAGGCTGGAGTGCAGGGGCACAATCTCAGCTCACTGCAACCTCCACCTCTTGCTGAGCTGATTCTCCTGCCTCTGCCTTCCAAGTAGCTGGGATTGTAGCGTGCACCACCACGTCCGGCTAATTTTTGTATTTTTAGTAGAGATTGGTTGCCATGTTGGCCAGGCTGGTCTTGAACTCCTGGCCTCCAGTAATCTGCCGCCTCTGCCTCCCAAAATGTTGGGATTACAGGCGTGAGCCACTGCACCCGAGCACATTGCCTCTTTTACTATTCTCAAGAAACATTTGTGATGCTCTGAGTGTGTTTGTGTGTTTCATTCGTGTGTCAGTATTTTTAAGAAATCACCAATGGGGCCGGGTGCGGTGGCTCACGCCTGTAATCCCAGCACTTTGGGAGGCCGAGGTGGGTGGATCACAAGGTCAAGAGATCGAGACCATCCTGGTCAACATGGTGAAACCCTGTCTCTACTAAAAATACAAAAAAAAATCAGCTGGGCATGGTGGCACGTGCCTGTAATCCCAGCT